CCCCCCCCAGCTACATGCCTGTCACTGATATGCTCAGTTCTGCTAAAATAGGCAGAGACTAAGGACTTCCCAATGAGCTGAATGCATGAGGCATCTTAAAGGAGGGACAGCGGGGCTTAGTATTTTAAAAATTATGCTATAGGCACTTCCATTTCCCCCTACATGGCCCAAAATATCTTTATAATGGGTGCATCACACTCTTCATGCTATTAATAAGACATATGGCACTTGGACATTGCTTTCTCCTCTTGAATCAACCAGTTGGATGGATGGATGGATGGATGGATGGATGGATGGATGGATGGATGGATGGATGGATGGATGGATGGATGGATGGATGGCTGGCTGGCTGGCTGGCTGGCTGGCTGGCTGGCTGGCTGGCTGGATGGATGGATGGATGGATGGATGGATGAGTAGGAGGGGGGACGTGTGAGAAAGAAAGAAAGAGAAAAAGCATGTGAGATGGCCACACACTATTGACTCCATCCATAGCTATCTTTAGCCTGTGATTCACAACACTCAAAGGAATATAGCTCAGGAATGATCAAGCTCCCTGTTCCTTCTGCAGAGAATCCATCTGAGGATATTGCAGATAGATAAAAGAAGGGAGCTGTGTCAATTGCTTGCTTCACTTGACATTTTGTCTTTAGCAGTGATGGAGAGAAATTGTGGAGTCTTCCCATCTCTGTTTATCTGAAGTCAGACGCCAATGTTGCTGTTGTACTAGGCCTGGGTAACAACGGAAAATTTTGTTTCTAAAATCGATTCGTTTTTTGGGGGTTTTTGCGTTTCGATATTTAAAAGAATTCCGAAATTTTTCTTTTAAAAAGTTCAATATTTACGAAATTTCGTAAATGTAAAAAAAATTACGAAACATTAACGAAACAAATACGAAATAATAACGAATCAATTCGTTAATGGCGGACGCGACCGCGCAATACGCTAAAAAACCTCCAAATGGGACAGGGGGAACTTCTGAAGCTTCCCTCTCCCTCTGTTGTTGACTGTTGGTGTGATATTATAATTTTTTTCACTAATTAAACAAAAAACAACTATAAAACTTGCCCCAGACATGCGGAAATAATAACGAAATGACCTCAAACCGATAACGAAACGAATACATAACAAATCCGAAGCATTTACGAAACGAATTTAAAAATTCGTTTCATTTTTAAGTTGCTCCAGAATGGTTCGTTATCGCTTCGTTATAAAAAAAATTACGAATTTTTAACGAATTACGAATTAACGAAATGAAACCGCCCAGCCCTATGTTGTACTCCTAGCATTCATATCTGGGGAGACTCAAGGCTACATGTGACACAAAAAGCTCAAATTGCTGCTTTCAGTATCTTCCTGTGCCTGGGTGCACCTGAGGAAATTGCTCTTGTAAAGGTTGCTTCCAAATAAGAGGTAGAGTTTATATGGTGTTTCTACTCTTCATCATTTTAGGATTTGATGGTCCTTTCCCACATAGGAGATCATGTCCATGGGAGACATGCCAAGCCTCCTTTGCAATTAATAGCAATCTTATGGTGTTGGGCAGAACCATTTGGGGACAAAGTGGAAGGGAAGAAGCTAATTTGATACTGTTCTTATTACCTTGGTGATGGGACAAAATCTGGCTGCATAGGCTATGAGGATTGCTGAATTTATTTAATTTATTTCATCAGAACCCTGAGTTCACCTAGATGGAGCTTGGTATATAAAACATAGATTAAAAGGAAAGGTATCTGAGCCCAGGAATTTGTATTGTATTTGTTAAGTGAACAGAATTCACTGTCCTTCCACACACAAATCTGCACCTGTGTCCCTCTGCTATCTCCATTTCAGTAGTGCACTTCGTGAGGAGTGAAGTAAAGTGATACAAAGAAAATTAACTGATAAGAAGCTAATGGGAGAGGGGCCATTTGGAATGTGATGGAATGTTTTGCTAAAAAGACTAAGAAACAGTTCCCACTCAGCCGTGGAAATTCACTGGGTGATCTTGGGCAAGTCACACTCTCTCAATCTTAGAGGAAGGGAAAAGCAAACCTCTTCTGAATAAATCTCGCCAAGAAACCTCTGTGATAGGTTCGCCTTAGGATCACTGTAATTCTAAAATGATTTGAAGACACACAACAACAACAACAACAACAACAACAACAACAACAACAGTAGCAGCAGCAGCAACAACAACACATATCAAAC